AATAAAGATAGTTTGTAATATTTTTGGTGTGTTGCTTTTGTTTGTGTTGCGCCTCATTAACAACATAAAGAAAAAAGGACAACACCACCAGATAAAACCAGCAAACACGGACTCACTCAGGGTCAGAGACAGTTTGGACTTCGTCTCTCAGCCATTCATTTAGTAAAGATACACAATCTTTGTTTAAGATGTATCATTGAAGCGATACTGGCCTAATCATGACTAAGGCCGTTCAGTTCCGTGCTGAGGTTTTTTTGCCAAATGCAGAGACGGAGCGGAAGGATCCCCAAATGTTTACTCAACCCGGAAGGATCCGAGGCCGGAGCCTCATGAAGGACTTAAGCTGTGTTTGACAATCTCAGTACGTGTTTATTTTATAGGCAATCTGCCCTCAGACAGGCTCAGAGGATGTTGGATGATCCACAGGGCAGCAGGTTTTGCTCTGAGCTGAGTCATGCTAAAGTTTCCTTTCTGCTCCGCCTCTTTTACTCTGTGCAGCATGCTTTCATCTTCATGTCTGCCCTTTAGACTTTACAGCTTTTGGGGAAATACATAGAGTTCTTCGTTTGTTTCTTTTTTATAACATGGGTATCATTTCCCTTTTTTCAGCTTTTTTAGTCCAACACATGTTTTCTTAAGGAGAAAAATAAGATGTGTTGTAACGGATACAAATGGCTGGAACTGACTAAAAAAGGAGTGTGCTTGTTTCTGAATAGTTCCGGTAGTTTGGTTCTCCACTTGGATATAGACGTTAATATATTTGGACCACAGGGAGAAAGAAGACATGAGGAAATGCTGCGTCCTGCTTGTCATCACTTAGATTACAGACTGAGGATGTGTGATTTAAGACTTTTCTAAGTTTCTGTCATGTATAAAACATGGACATGTGTCATATCAGCCGCTCACTGGGAGTTTAGGTGCGTCCCACTCCATCCACATGTTTCATCCGATGTGAACAAGGTGTCAGATTGCTGAGATGCAATGTCATTTGGTGTTAAAATCTTTTACATTTTTGTGATTTTTTTAAACTTTTGTTGAAATGAGTGAAGATTTGTTCTGTTTCCCCCCCCCCTCCTTTATTAAGCCGTGCCCGTTTCAATATCTTGAACATGTTTGCTCATTTCCTATTGGGAAGAGTTGGTTTATTGAATACAAGGAGTGAATAACTAGTCAAATTTGGAGCGTTCAGGTTCCATTTGAAAGAGCGGGAAAATGCCAGCCACCTGTTCTTCAATGTTACACTGAAACAAGACTCATGTCTGTGGATTATTGATGGGATGTTCATTTCTATTCTGTAATATTTGATTGTATTCCATTCCATTTAATCTATTATCTTATTTGTATGTGGTAAACACTCCACATCAGCCAGACTTTATGTCGTGTTCAGATCGATGCTTACAGTAGAGCCAGCTTACATACAACACAATGAGAATGA